ATTGTTCAGTTTATAATAATGCTTAAACCATTGTCCCAGTTTTATCAAAATGCACTATGTTCACTGAATATAATCATGCAGAAGCACAAGTAATTACACTTTTCAATGTACTTTAACAGCCCTGGGCATTTATTTCTGTACTTAAGAGAAATTTAAAATTTAAATACAATAGAGCAGTACTTGGAAATATGAATTTCTAATAAATTGCATGGTTATGTTTATCTAAAGGAACATGTTTTCTCAATGTATGGTACATAATTCTTTCTTTAGTTTGCAGCCCAAAACTTGGATGTTATGTCATGGTTTTTATATTATACCCAAAATATGTTCTCAATTTCTTTAAAAATATACCCTACTTCCAAATTTGGATGAATTTCATACCCTAAACACGCAATGTATGTATTTTAAGTTTGTTGAACTGGCAAACTCTGAAAAATAGATGGAGAGACCAATTATTATTTTTAACTTTTAAATGCCTTCAAGGACTTTCTCCCTCCTATTTAATTAATATGTTTGTTTTCCTTGAAAATGATAAAAACACTAGAAGCCAGACAAATAATCATCTTGTAGTTCTACAATGGAACATATTTCCTTGACATATGTTCCACTGTAGTTCTACAATGGAACATATGTCAAGGAAAACAAACTTTTCATTACCGTGCATCCATGAAGTGGAACCAACTACCTAGCAATATAACTAAGGGATTTCCAGAATTTTAACCAATACACATTTAAAAATGCTCTGAATTAATTGGTCTCTCCTCTATTTTTGTGATTAGTCCTCTACTTTTGTAATTAAGTCATCTATTTTTGTAATTAAGTCCTTTGTTTAATTTTCCTAAATTTTTCTTTTCAATTTTTCAATTTTTGTATTTTATGTTATGTAACTGGACCACAACGAAAACCAGTGCCTTTGCATTGAGCGTGCCATCCAGTATAACAAAAGTTAAATAAAAAAATAAACATGCCTGATTAAACATGCAATGTATGTGTTATACTGTACCTGATTACAAACAAAAAATTCTTTAACACTTTTTTGGTCTCCCACATGCGTTTCTGAGGTCAAGATGATAGACCTTTCCGGGGTTTTAATTGTATAGTAAACCCTGAAAATGTACCTCAGAACCATTGTCACAGTTCTTAATCTTTTTCTACTCCAACACCTATTTATTTAAAGATGGTTATGAGCAAAGGTACAAAGGAGCCATAGTCAAATCTCCTAGAAGATGAAGTTTTTCTACTCACAGTTGAAAAATCCTGAATTAAAATTTACAGAATAAATAATTGCGCCTTTGTTTCTGAATATTATATTTTGTTGGCAGCAGCTGGCTGAAAACGTCTTACCGGACCACTGAATGCAACTTAAACTAAACTACAGTACCAATAGTACCTTGTTGCTCTAGGCTCTAACAAAGAAATTAATAGTAAACAGGAATTAGCCTATCACATACAGTATATAGCACTGCTAACCACAGATTACATAAAAGAACGTTTGATTGTAAAGTTGCTGAGATACTCTCTACTTGGTAGATGTTTATCTTAGGCCTACCAATTGACCACATTAATTCTAGCTCAATTGGGACTGGTTAACAAGCTATTTATTCTCAGAGCTGTCAATTGCGCAGTCTGGTTTACAGTATGGTAAAATAAATATCTGTAGTGTAGTGGTTTAAAGGTGTGACCAGGGGTGTGATACAATAGTAATTAATGGTGGATATTACCTGCCAAGTTTGATTTATTCACCTTAAAAAACAACCACCATGTGTTCAATTCAATAAAAAACATAAAACAAGTTTTACGGTGCATCCAAAATACCTTAATACAAAACAAAATATAAAAAATAAAACTTAATTGTAAAACTAAAAGTATGTTAATCTACAGTAAAACAAATATTTAAACCATATTTAGCATGGTTATAGTACAGGGAGATGATTTGATTGGAAAAAAAGGATGTAGTCACCGGAAACAGCAGGGGTGGAGACACAGTTATGGGAAAAGTATGATGAGGAAAACAGCAGGGTTGAGAAACAGGGTAAACACCAAAGTAAAGAAGAATAAAAAAACAAATTTACTCCCAAAATCTGCACCTTTGGCATCCCCTCCCCACTGAAAATTACACTTAATTATTAAATATAATCTCAGACACATAACATTATCTTACTTTATAATTAGATCCCTTACTTACATCCCCATTAGCCTGTCCCTTCCCCCAATTCAATAATTTTATATACTGTGTGCTACTGATTTTGTTAACCCTTACCCTCTGCATCCACAGCTTTTTATATAAAACCTCCTAGGAAAACAGGCCTTGACAGAAAATTAGTCCAGGGATCCAGAATAACATTGATAATGATGATTAAAAACATTAAGATAATATTAACAACAATCAACAAATGTTTGTTTATTATTAATAATATGTAAACTAATATCAATGATAATAACAAAACTAACAACATTCATCAAGTAGAATGGGTAAGCGGTAAAGCAGGGGTATCGCCGACTACAGCCTGAACATCGGCACTAGCTGAAAATATTCCCAGATAAGGACTTAAATGAATGTCCAGTGGCTCATGTGCACCCACTGCATCTTTCAGCAGAGTAGGGGTTACCCTGATTCTATGGTTCTTTTCAGCCCGTCATTGTGCAATGATGTGATGCCTCTTTACGGCGTGTAGGTAGTCACATCAGGGGAAGTGCCAGCAGGGGGGCTTAAGTCCCCCATCGGTCTGGTCAAGTTCCCCCCTCCCCAATCGGTCTGGTCAAGTCCCTCCCCCATCGGCCAAAGCTCGTCGGGCAGTCTGACCTAAAAAAAAAAAAATAGGCCTAGTTTTCCCATCCCACTACTGTATTGCCTATGCCAAGCCAAATCTGGATCAGCAATCACTTTGTCTGGGTCTGATCAGTCAAGCAGAACATAACAATGGTGAATCGACCATTTATGGCCATCAGGAAGTCACAATTTTCTTTTTTAATCTCGTTTTGGGAGGAGGGGAACCCCCCACCCATACCCATCCCCGGCTGCTGCGCGCTATAGTTACACCCATAAATACTTAGCGCCCCCAAGTCAGACATCTTATCCCCCCCCCCCTCAATT